TCTAATGAAGTTGTATTTTTTAAATAGCATATTTTCAGATAGAGTGAATGTCCCTTTTTCTGATACCAAATACAGGGTGCGGCAGAGAGGATGGACGGTTTTAAAAAAACCATAAAATATTTAATTTTTACTCGAAAAAAAATTTATTGATGGAATCAGGGTCACAAGGAAATATCATTTGAGACAGTCAAGTGTGGAAAATCACATCAGGCATGTGGTGGCCGAAATCGTTGATGCAGTACTGGAGGCGTTCTTGGAAGTTCGCGTAGACTCTCTCCAACATCGCTCTCTCAACTTGGGCGACTTCCACGCGAATTTCGCCCTTCAATTCGTCCAGAGTTCGGGATTTGTTCGCGTATACTCTAGCCTTGAAGTGTCCCCATGAGAAAAAATCGCATATGGATAAATCTGGGGACCGAGGAGGCCAATGAAGATCGCCAAACCTGGAAATCAGGCGACCAGGGAAGAGAGGGCGAATAACGTCCATGGATGCTCGGGCTGTGTGGGCAAAATTCGCCTTACCGAACGATCACTAAGGCGAAGTGCAGCAGCATGTTTCCGGGCAGATCGAGTCGGACTGCGAAGAACGACCTGTCGAACGCGTTCAACATTTTCGGGAGTTCGAACTGTTCGCGACGCTCCTCTTGGTCTTCTGTTGATCAGTTCACTACGCCTGCGAAGTGATTCAACCCAACGAAGGATGGTGTTTCGAGAGGGAACAGCTCTATGCCGATGAATATTGAAGTGGCGACGAAACTCACGCTGTACTACGATGACTGACTCATTATTTCGGACGAAACAATCATAGGCGAAAACGCGGTGATCCATCGTCCAAGGCTCCATAACGACAACTAGTAAAATAATGCTAGGATCTCACGAGTCAAACGGCATCCTCCCCACCTCTCTCGTAGATGGAGGCGGAGAGTACTACCCATCCCAAAAACGTCCGTCCTCTCTGCCGCACCCTGTATATACTATTTGTTAAACTTATTTTTTTTACTTCAGTCAAAAAATTAAGGATATAATATTCCGGCCCTATACCACATTGCATAGGCGGCTAGATGTAAACTGGTTTAACAAGCTTTAAGTTTTTGGCCAAACTGAGGAAAAGAGTATGATAAACCATATATACTTTGAATAAGAAAAAAAGACACTTCCCTGAAAATAAATTTAAAAAAAAAAACAACTTTATTCGATAACACTCGGTATACAAAAAAACATATTACATGAATTGCTTCATTTTAGACTCGATATAAAACTTTTTCTTCTAGAAGGTCGTGTAAAAAAGTTAGAGGGAGCCTGTACTCTGTGATGATTATTTTCTTCAATAAATGACTTGAAAGATCAAACCTTGAAATATTAGTATATCACTAAGGAATGGCCTGAATACTCATAAAGACCGACATATTTTTTTGTCAGAAAGGACATCCTAGCGGTGCTTCTTTACCATACAGCTAAAAAACTTTTCAGAACCCCCAGAACTTGAATGACTAACATAGAGACATGGATAGTGTCGACTCAACATACTTACTCTCAGCTTTTTTTTCACTGGGCCTTCTTCATCCCCAAAGAAAACTTTCCAAGAAAAATATTTATCTGTTCCGTCAAACGCACCGGATGCCATTCATCTTTTACAGATAATTTAGTATTTTTCCAAGGATACTTTGAGGGTGTATTTCTCTAGAAATTGCACGGAAACCCTGCCTTCGGCGCCAAACCACCCGGTTTTTCTTTATTTGAAATCCGTAAATACTGGGGGTAAATGGAATGGAATGTAATTTGGAGTAGGGTGTCCATGAATTTCTGAAAGAGTGCTACTGTAATTCACGAGGTACCTTCCTATCGGTTTGTATTTATCAGAGCATTTGCTGATAAATAAAGAGCTCATAAAAAGTGCTTCAAAATATGTTGGCAACCCTTCGGATGTCTATAAAGATAATGTGATGAATTCCTGTACAAGAAGACACAGGCTCCAAACAATGGATCTGCTATTAAGAGCCGTGTTTTGGAGAACATTCGAACATTCGAGTAAAAGGAAATTGGAATCATCTACGCATATGAACTATAGAAACAACAAAAATAATTTTTTTGTAAATAATTAAATAAGAAAATGCATAATATAATATTAGTGTAAATGTGGCAGTTCTGACATATTGAAACGTCAACTTTGGTTTTCATGCTATTCCACTATTGTAAATAGAAATACTATGCCACTACGATTCAGTGTTTTGTATTCTCAATGAGGCTGAAGAATGGGACACTAAGATTTCTGCAGCGCAAATAGAGGCTGTTCGTTTCTACTAATTTTTGCATGATTATAACAGCCGACCAATTATCTACCATTACGGTACGAACGACTTTTGAAGCTCTAATAATTATTATCAGAGCGGATAACCATTTATAATATCACCGCACTTCTGTAATAAATTATTGTGCAAAATGCGATAAATTAACATCGTTTGTATATCAACAATGATCCAGCTGGCTTTTAGTTTGAAATCGATGACATGTATATGGAAATACGCATAATTTATACGTACAGTTTTGCATAGAGAACGCCTAATTTGCATTGTATAAGACCTACATAATTCGCTAAATAATGACAGGGAAATCATCATTATCTTGTCTATTTTGTAATTAATTGCAAGACACAATGCTTTTCCAAAACATATGCGGCTATAGACACGTCAATATTGCTCAGGCTGTTTTGCAGTTCAAGTCAGAGGCTAGGTTTGTACTGAGTGGATCAATCCACGATCGTCTATATATACTAAGTGACGTATAAATCCGAACACTCAGTTTAAATGGTTTTATTTTAATAAAAGTTGGTGAATGTATTTATCTTACTGTAAATAACAAGTGAAAAAAATTTCAGCCTTATCAGTTGGACATTCCGGTTTTTATACTGCTTTTTTTTAATTCACTAACGCTCTAAAAATGAATATTTCAGCCGCAGTAAAGAATCAACGTTGGCGGATTTTGGTTCTTGACATCCTTTACGATCGGTTACGATGCCTAGAGTACGGAGACCTGTACGATTTCGTCAACTTAGTGAGTTTGATAGGGGCCGTATAGTGGGACTTCGGGAAGCTGGACTTTCTTTTCGGGCAATTGCAGTTAGAGTGCAAAGAAGTGTAGACACTGTGGTTAGATGTTGCCAGGCATGGCTTCGAGAAGGGCGTACGCAAAGAGCAAGGGGCACTGGACGCCGCCGTAGAACAACAGACCGTGAAGATCGCCGCCTGAGATTATTGGCCTTAAGGGACCGTTTCTCCACTACCAGGTCCATTGCAAATGAATGGTTTGCAGAACACGGAAGACCTATTGGCATGCGAAGTGTTTACCGACGAATGAGAAGTTTTGGCTTGTTTTCATACCGGCTACACTGGGTCCTCCCTTTAACTCGAGAACACCGACGTAATCGCCTTGAGTGGTGCAGACAACGGTCACTCTGGGATCAAGAATGGAACAGTATTGTCTTTAGTGGCGAGTCTCGATTTTGTTTAGGCATGCACGATGGTCGTGCCAGGGTTAGAAGGCGACGTGGTGAAAGGAGGAATCCACAGTTTTTTGTTGAAAGACATGTTCATCACACTGTTGGAGTTATGGTTTGGGGTGCTATAGCTTATGGTTCCAGGTCACCTTTAATCTTCATCAGAGGTAACATGAACGCGCAGCGTTATATCCACGAAGTTCTAGAACCCCATCTTTTACCCCATCTTGACACCCTGGCAGATCCAACTTTCCAACAGGATAATGCCCGACCACATGTTGCAAGAGTCACAATAGACTTCTTTCAACATAATGATGTCACATTGTTACCATGGCCACCAAGATCTCCCGACTTATCCCCAATTGAGCACGTGTGGGATATGATGGGTAGGAGATTGCTCAATTTGCAACGTCCTCCTCAGACTCAAGAAGCACTTCGAGAGGAGTTGGTGGTTGCCTGGAATGAGATACCACAGGAGGACATTGACCACCTGATCAGAAGCATGCCTAGGCGCGTTGGAGAATGCGTAGCACATCAGGGTGCATCCACACATTATTAAAGGTCAAAGGGCTTTAAAGCAGTGCAATCATTTTGAAATTTTTATCATTTACTTATTATGCTTCATTATGTACTTATACAAAATTTTATTAAAATAAAACCGTTTAAACTGGGTGTTCGGATTTATATGTCACTTAGTATATAACGACTCCATTATTTATTTCAGTTAAAAGCAATCCATATTTCACCAATGAGCTCCGCCTTCCTGAAAATATCCATTAGTTAACACTAAGCGTACCATCACCAGTGAAAAAGTCTTATGAACTTTTGCTTTGAAAATGTGCATATAGCTTTTGCACAATTAACTCTATTAATTCTATGATGTTTATTATATTTGTATTATGTCTATTTTGAGCAATACTTGTTACAAGTATACGTACATATCGTTATCTACCACAACCGTTTATTTGACCAGCTATGTTCGAAATAGGTGTATATTGAGCGCTTGTATGTTTAGTGTTAAAGTCGTACGCAACCAAGGAGGCTGGCCATTGCAAGTAATCTGCATAGATTGTGTCTTACATTCCGAATATATCCAAACACTTTTAGCAAGAGCCTATATATTTAGCAGTATACCCTGGACTTCTATCAACTGTTTCTCTGCGAAATATTTCCCCAGTTATCGTCTTTAATTTGTCTACGAGTTCGTTCATCCTACATCCACTGCAACAAGTTACATGTTCTTGTTTCTGTTATTAAAATAATGTAAAGCCTATGAGAAAGGAATGAACAACATTCTTGTGTAGCTTTATGTACAAGCGTCGTACCCATCTATAATTTTATGGCATACCGTGATTCAAAAAGATTTTAAATGCATCCACCCATAGCAATAAAGAAATACGGTATATAAATGGACCTCATTACCATTCAGATCAAAGCAGCATAAGTTTCTCATAACTATAACAAGCCGCTCAAAATTTGTAGTATTAGAGCTCCATAATGATGATACCTGCGTCGATAAGCTCTGTAATGCTGGTGAATCGACGGTTTTCGAATGCAAATCAAGATGCCTTCCAAGTTTCAGGCTATGGTTCAATTTAATTCTTCGGCGAAGACCGTCCATCATGGTTTCCTTGTAACAATCGCCTGTGGGGCAACAATAAAAGGTATCGCAGAAATTACGATTCACGACTACGGGCTTGAACGCGCCGCTTTCATTTTACAGAAGCTGTAATGGGTTTGTTAGAGGGCATACTCTGTTTAAAAAAACCGGTAGAAATAATCAATGGCAAAGAGTTATGGCGTAGCTGCACGCCTTGCAGGATGCAACAGATGGAAGAGCAGAAATTGCTACTAGCGAAAATATAAATAATATTGTGAAGGAGGGTAGACAAGATTCGAGGGAGTTTCTGAAATAGCTGTAATATGGGCGCTTGATTGGCATAAGCAATGAACTGGGGTCTTTCTGGCTAACGTTTTACTAAATGATCTGACTTCCTAGACCAAAACATATTATTGCAAAAATTGGAAAGATATGGCATTAAACGTCTAGAATTTTCTTGAATAGAATCATATATAGGGGAGACCGGAGCGGAATGGGGACCGTAACATTCAATTTCAAGTTTGTGTGGGTAAATGATGTTACAGAAATTTAAAAAGGTACATAATGATCTATTGAGGTAGTTCTGACTCGTCGTCGTCACTATCTATTCCCGCACAAGAGTAATGAGCCCACTTTTTACACTGAGTGCAAGAAATCCAACCTTCAGTTGATGTTGAATATTGGTCGTTACAGAATAAACATAATGTGTCTTCTCCTTCTTCCTCCTCGGAGCTTACTCTAGCTTTTGCTTTTTTGGTCGAGACATCTTTTCTGTTTCTCTCTTCTGCTTCTGACCTGAAAGATTTTTTCACTTTGTTTTTCTTTGATTTTTCTAATGCCTCAGTCAACTCTGCTTTATACGGTGACTCTGTAATAATACTGGTTTTGCCTCTCTTTCTCTGCACTCGCTTAACGGTTGTCGTTAGTTTTGGTACTGGCATAAAAGCTTCCGGAGAAACGGCTGGATAACTAGAGGTGATCACTTTTTTTATTGGTGCAATAGGAGTGTCAGACATCCAGGGTAAAGAGCCATATTGAGTTTCGTTGCTAGTTTCCTTTAGTTCTCTGGGAGGTGGGGTTGATGGATCATTGAAGGAATTATTTTCTGGAAAATCATCGACTTGAGTTACTTGAGTAGGGTCAATTTCTGTCTCAGCAATAGGAATATTAGTTGTCTCGGCTGGTAAAAAGTCATCGTCAGTGAAAATTCCCTCGTTTGTTGGCCAAATACCAGTTTTTTCAAAACCTTTTAGCGCGGTTTTCATATTAGCGGCGTTAATAAAAGCTTGTCCAAACAAGGTTGAAATTTGAAATAAAGTAACAACCTTACCTGGGTTTGACCGCAACCATCTTCGCACTTCATCTTCTTAGTATAGACTTAAAGGTCTCATAAATGCCACATCTATAGGCTGGAGACTGTGCGAACAGTGCGGTGGGAAACATAATAAGATAACGCCATTATCTCCAGCCAGATCTATTACATCGATGTTTTTCGTATGAGATGCATGTCCATCAAATAGTAAAAGCACGGGAGTTTCTTTTTTGCGCCAGAAAATTTAATAAACTTCTTGAACCATTCGAAAAACACTTCCATAGTCATCCTTCCAGAGTCATTTGCCGCAATCCAAGCTCCAGGTGGCAAGCCCAATTCAAATTCTTGTCTCTTCTTTTGTCGCGGAAAAATCAACAGGGGGGGCATGAAATTTCCCGCAGCAGAGCAACAAATTTCTGCCGTTACTGTATTACCACGCTCAGCAGAAATCAATACGCCTACCTGACGTTGTCCTCTATTTGCAATAACCCTTGAATGCTGCTTTGGAATCACTGTAATGCCAGTCTCATCAATTATAAATTCTTTCACAGGTAATTTTTTTCTCAATAATAACTTTATTTAATAATGTAAAGAACTGCGCGACTGCTACTCGGTTAAATCCCATGGCACGTGCTCCAGAAGTGGCCTCAGGCTTCCTCAAACTTAACTCTGAATGACGCCTCATAAATGAGGGGGCCCAGTCTTCTTCCGCCATTTCTGTATCTTTGTTAAATGGATGCTCACAACCATTCCTAACCGCTAATTGATAGGCTAGCTTTCTGAGTTCTTTTAATGTTAAACCAAACAATCTCTTTTGCATATCCTTTAAATATACAACTAGTTCTACCTCTTGGTCTTGAGTAAAAACACAGTGATATTTGCCAGCGGTTTTATCAATCACAGAATTTGGGTCAGTCCTACGCTTCTTCACGTATCTTTCCAATGTAGTTTGTGGAAGCTGGAATTGAATTGAAGCTTTCTTGCAACCCATTACGCCACTTACTACTGCAGCTACAGCTCGTTCCATAGTTTCAGAACTCCACCGTTGCCGATCGGTCTTTCTAATATAATTGCGAACCATCTGAAAGCAACACAAGGCATCAAAATGAGATCGTTGATAATAAGGGGCAGAATGGGGTACCAATCCCCACGATAACAGAGAGCGCTAGTAACATCTAGCCTTTACAGTGAGAAATATGGTATGCAAACCGTTCTGCCCCGGTACCCTACCCCGCCCCGGTGTCCCCTACAGAGAAATCACAACATATATGTGAGATCTGATCACTCTGATTGCTAGGCAACGTGGTACCCGTATCTCTTTCTAACATACGCATTGCACATTTTTCGCGCTTCTCTCTCGTACGGATTATCTCAGTGGTATATGGATTTCTCTGTATTAGCAATCGAATGTAACAGGTAAAGCTATCTGGACATAATGAAACAGTTTTTTCGAAAGAACTCCGTATTGAAACAGGAGGTGCTACAGACTAGTATATTAGGTCCTACATTATTTGCAATTTTTTACGACACAAATTTGCTCATAATAGCTACGGATCCTAGTATTCCATGTGATGAGGAAGTACAATATCGACAACATACAGATTTGCTTTTTTTTTCAAAATCAGTTAATTTTCAATAAAAGTAAGTCTGCTATTTTTTTAAAACAACTCACAGTAAACCAGACCTCAAATTTGTCTTAAGGGCACTACAAGTACAATATCTGCCAGTACTAGTTTTCTTGGTGTTGAATAACTTCGTGAGACAATCATGTAAGTTATTTGAGAAATCTCAATAAGGTATGTTTTTGTTAAATATGTGTGGATGGAAAAACCTTGAAAGTTATGTATAATTCGAATTTAGAATCTAGACTTAAAGTACGGAATTATGCTATTCGGAAATTGTAGTGACTTAGACCAAATACTTGTGATACGAAAAAGAACTTTGAGGAATAGCTAATCTTGTAGAGGGGAAATTTAGGCAATTAGGTATTCTAACAGTTTTTGAAGCTAATGTTCAACAGTTTTCTATATTATTATTCAAAAATAAGAAACTATTCGCAGTGAATGTGCTAACAAGTAATAACTACATTTATCCAAAGCACAGATTAGCATTATTTGAAAAACGACTTTTTAATCCGAAAAGCTCACCAACTTGAATGCGATGTCGTTGAATAAGATTTTATATATAATATATTCATTTTGTCTTTTGTTGAAGCTATTTGTATCACAAGTGGTTTTCAATACCTTTCATTTTAATTGACAAAAAAAGATTACTGTTATTGCATTGCTTCTTGCTTTTTGATATTAGCAAAGGTTTCGTACAACGGCCTCCCAGAGAGGCTTTGCAGATATATCGCAAGCTCTTCTCCTCATTAGAAATCTATTGTGGTCGACTGTTTACTTCCTGGGCGAGGAAGTATTATAATCGCAAAAAAATTCCAAAATGAGATATTGTGTTTTTTTTTTTAATGTTATATGACATACATACGAAAAACCGTGTCATTTATTTTCCTCGGTTTGTCTGTTTGTCGGCTAATCCTTGATCTATAACTTGGGAAGAAGCAGTCGGATTTTGATAAAATTTCCACACAAGTTTGCCGTTGTGCCAAGGTCGAGAAAGATTTGTAGTTTTTGAAAATCGGCCCAAAGACGGTGGAGAAAAAAGGCAAAAACGAAATAAATAAAAATCGCTCAATCCCAGTTTTTTATGTTTTAGAGGGTCCTGATAATTTTCAGAAAAAAATTTGTACGAGTTGAAATTGTACGGTTGGGGGTTGAAGGGCGGTGGGGAAGGATTTATGAACATTTTTTGATACGAGGGATATCTTTTAAGTTTTGCATATAGAAACATAGTAGGCCGCGCGCATCGAACGTCAGTACTGAATCTTAGCCTTTTTCTTTAGTAAACTTAAATTTAAAGTTTCACAACAATACGTGCAGTATTTTCACTAGAATGAATTTTTAAGTGTCACCAAGTCATTAGAAAAATGGAAGTCAGCCGAGAATATTTCCGCGGCATAGTTTATTACAACTTTCAGAGACAATTATCGCAACAAGAATGCCTTGCTGAGTTACTGTCTGTTTTCGGCAACGAAGCGCCACATCAGTCGACAATTTCCCCTTGGTATGGAGAATTCAAACGTGGACGGGTGAGTCTTAGCGACGATTCTAGGGTGGGTGCACCAAAAACCGCAGTCACCCAGGAAAACGTCGATGCTGTGCGCAAACTCATCATTGAAGATAGACATGTGACATATCGCGAGATTGAGGCGTCCTTGAAGATCTCCAAGTCCTCAATTCAAAAAATTTTACATGAAGAATTATGAGTAAGGAAATTAGTTTCTCGTTGGATACCCCACCTGTTGACTGAAGAGCAGAAAGCAGCCAGGGTTAATTGGTGTCAAAAAACACTTGACCGTTTCAATTCCGGAAACTCAAAAAATGTATACAGCATTGTTAGTGGTGATGAATCGTGGATTTACTGTTATGAACCAGAAAATAAACAACAGTCGGCTGTTTGGGTGTTCCAAGGTGAAGAAAAGCCAACAAGTCATCCATTCTCGAAGTGTTTCGAAAAAGATGGTCGCGACATTTTTGTCAAAAGCGGGTCATATTGCAACAATTCCTCTTAATGAGCAAAGAACTGTTACTGCGGATTGGTATACCACCATTGGTTTGCCAAAAGTCATCACCGAGCTTCGAAAAGTCAACCC